TATAAAAGCTTTACGTCTTATTGGATCTTATTCTGAACTTTTTATATATTTATTTCCCATAACAATGTATGTTTATCTCTATTGAAACGTTAAAACTCCATTTTGTTCTGACTATATTGTTTTGGAATGTAAACAATTGATAAGCTTTTTGCCCTATGTTAGCTTTGTCTGAACAACAATAGTTGTTGATATACTGTAACTGAAAGGGAAATTAACATTTTGTAACTTAATGCAAATAGACTCCATTTATTAAAAGTGCAAAAAGCAGCATGTAATTCCATAGGTTTCCTGTTTTATGTGTGGCAGTGAACTGTATGTACATCAAGTTAGAAATGAAGTGGTTGCAGTGTATTAATACCTTCACAGACGACACCAGCATCTTCGCTATGAATACAGTTGTTTGTGCCCCAAGGGGCATGATTGCACTGATCCAGGGCATCTTCAGTCCCATTGCACTGAACATTATCCAGCCAAATACTGCCTGAGCCCCGACCAAAGCGGGCATTTCCAGGTGCTGAAATTGCTGGTCCGCATCCAAGCTGCCTGCATACAACCTTTGCATCATTCATAGCCCAGCCGTCGTCACAAACTGTTCCCCAACTCCCATCACGATATACTTCAACGCGACCTTCACATTGGTGGGGTCCATTAACTAGCCGCAAGAAAGTTACTTTGGGAAATACAAAAAAAAAAATCTGTCACAGAAAATAATGCTTTGTGTTGTCAAATAGGCCATAAATGAGAAAAATTCCAAAGTATAAGAAAGTCTACATATAAACATGTTTACTTATATGTATAAAGATAGAAATTAAAAGGAATCTTAATTCTCTACAACAGCAAGGTGTGTATATTGAATGCATATACAAGGGTAGGCAAATTCCACCTCATGTTTGGTGTGCTGAGTTTCTGGCCTACAATCATAGGTGATGTCTTGTTTTGCTGGCAGTGCCATTGGGCTGGTGGCATGGGGAAAGGCAACAGAGATTGTCTCCAATAACCAATATTGGAGATTGTCTCCAATAACAGCTCCTGAGGCTCTAGCATCATCAGTCATGCTCAACTTACTCCCCATGTGATTAGCCAATTACATCCCTCCTTACCTCTTCCTTTATTCTTTGCATACCACGTTCTTAGATAGGTTTTGCATTTTGTTTGGCACTCAGCCTAAAAAGCTCTCAGATGCTCCGACTGAAGGTATGTTGCTCAATCTGTAACTTGCATCAGAAGGCACAACACAGTTCTTCACTATTACTACAGTGTCATAAAGGAGCAACTATTGGTGCCACTGACTTTCAAGGCCTCATAAAGAATGAGTACAAAGGTGCCAGCAATCCTTAATAGTTAGTGGACCTGATGGTTGCAGGGTCCCCGTCCCCCATGACTGGCATCCAGAATTGGCTGACTCCGCAATTATTTATTTAGAAAATGTGTATGCCACCTCTCCAGAGACCTACTTGAGCAGACCAATCCCCATTGTCTGTGTGGCAAATCTCTCTATCCTCCTGTCACCATTAGCATACCCAGAAGATGGCTTGAGAGGCAGCATCTATTAGACCTCAAAGATGGATTGACTCAAAAGAAAAAGAGAGGCAGAGAATCTGGGAAATTAAGAATGGTGAAAGATGAGGAAAGAATAGAAAGGAGTGAGAAGGAGCAAAAGAGAACTAAGAGAAAGGAACTTGAAAAGGGTCAAGGAAGACGTGTGGAAGGGATCAGGAAGTGTGAGTAAATGCCAGGAAATGCATTGTGAATGTCATAGTTGCCAGCTTTGAGTGAGGAAATACCTGGAGATTTGGGGGATGGAGCCCAGGGAGGATGGGGTTTGGGGAGGGGAGGGACTTCAGCAGGATACAAGGCCATAGAATCCGCCTTCCAAAGAGACCATTTTCTTTTGGGGAGCTGATCTCTGTTGCCCCACCTGGAGGATGGCAACCCTAGTACTCATGGATGCTGTACTGGGGATCATGACTATACAAGTAGTGGAGAATTGTGACCATTCTTCAATTACATCAGCTTTGTTTCAGGCAGGACAATATGAAACACTATAATTCAAGACATTTCTTCATGACAATTGTGACTCCTGATACCTTATTTCGTTGCAGTATTGTGAAGAAGATTTGATTGAAACAAGTTAACTAAAATTTGTATTATTGACTACTAGGAAAAAGGCCCGTTGTGGAAATAAATACAACGACCTCTAGAAAGAGGCTCTGGGCGGGTGCCCCGGCCTTGGACTCTCAGTGTCAATTTGCTGTGGCGACCTCAGCAGGGTATAATGACACTGAGTCCACCATTTTCTCCAGAGGAACTGATCTCTGCTACCTAAAGAACAGTTGTAATTTTGAGTGATCTCCAGCCCTCACCTGGAGATTTGCAACGATGGTTCCCCAGATGGGAATCGTTGATTTGGAGGGTGGAGTCTATGGCTTTGTACCTGTCCGAGGTCCCATGCCTCCTAAAACCTCACCTTCTCCAGGCTCCATCCCTCACATCTCCAGGAATTTCCCACCGGGAGTTGGCAACCCTATCTCCTTCCCAGCCTATCATCAACTTACCTTTATTTCCCCCTCATTCAGCTTTCCACCCCCCACACACCTGCAGCCTCTCCCGTGCTCTGAAGCCCTG